TTTGCCGCTCCACATAAGTGTTACTTCATGGTGGATTCTGTTTTGTTTTTGGGATTTGTAATTTCAGCTGACAGTATTCGAGTCGACGATAGCAAGTTGGCTACTATTCATGATTGGCCGACTCTGACTTCGTTCATTGAGGTGCGCAGTTTTCATTGACTTGCCTCATTTTACTGACATTTTATTTTCCACTTTAGCTCATTTACGACACCGATCACGAATTTTCTTACCGGCAAATAGTTTATGTGGATCACAGAGGCTGAGGCCACTTTTGCTCTCATTAAGAGCAAGCTGACGTCTACCCCTGTGCTAGTGCTGTCGGATTTTTTTAAGCCGTTTGAGCTATCGTGCGATGCTTTGAAGGTGGGGATTGGCGCGGTACTAAGCCAGGACGGTCGTATGGTGTCATTTTTTAGCGAGAAATTATGGGGTTCCCGTGTCAGGTACAACACCTTTGACATGGATTCTATGCTGTGGTCCGTGCGGTCTGTCATTGGCGTCATTATCTCTTTCATAGAGAGTTTATCCTTTACACGGATAACGAGGCCTTGCAACACTTAGAGACCCAAGACAATATTTCTGCACGGCATGCATCGTGGACGGTTTTCCTGCAGCAGTTCACGTTTGTTCTGTGCCATAGGTCGGGTCCTTCGAATAAAGTGACCGATGCCTTGAGCTGTCGGACACTTCTGTTGAATGATATGAGAGTTGCGATGGTGGGATTCGATGTGTTGGGAGAGGTTTATGTGGAAGATCCATTCTTTGGCCCGATTGTACGCCGCCTCGAGACGGGTCCATTTGAGGACTACTGATTGACCGACGAGTTTCTTTTTCGTGGCATTCGCCTCTGCATTCCCGACTGTAGCCTCCGACAGCGCCTTATTGCGGATCTCCATGGCGCCGAAAATGTTGGGCGTAATCGGTCTGTGGAGTTGGTTAGCGGGTCTTACTTTTGGCCGTCGGTTCGACGTGATGTAGCATGTTTCGTGGGACATTGTCATGTGCACCATGTCTCGAAGGGCGTGGCCACTAATGCCGGTTTATACCGATCGCTGCCCATTCCTTCTCGGCCATGGAGCGCGGTAAGTATGGATTAAGTATTGGGTTTACCGCGTACACATAAAGGCTTTGACTCTATCTTTGTCGTTGTGGATCGATTTTCGAAGATGGTACTTTTCATTCCATGCAAGCGTACTACGGATGCACTTCATGTGGCCTAGTTATTCTTTTTGGAGATTTACCATTTACATGGCCTTTCGTCTTTGATTGTCTCAGATCGTGATACTCGATTTCTGAGCCACTTCTTGCTTAGATTGTGGCGTATGACGAATACACGGTTGGATTTTAGCATTGCATATCATCCCCAGACGGATGGTCAAACAGAGGTGGTGAACCGTTCATTGGGCAACTAGCTTCGTTACTTGGTGGGCGATAACCTCCGGAGTTGGGACCAGAGACTGAGTCAGGCCGAGTTCACGCATAATTCAGCCGTGAGTCGGGCCACCGAATTTTCCTCTTTCTAGACACTGTGTGCACTGCAGCCGCGTGGCCCCTCCGATTTGCTTGCTTTGCCTTCTACGGTGTCGGTAGATCGTCGAGCAACCGATCTCATCACAGATTTACAGGCCACTCATGCGGTGACTAAAGCACGTTTGGAGGCCGCTATGGCGGCTTATAAGAGTCAGGCGGATGCTAGCTGTAGACATTTGAAGGGTACTACGCTCGTCATGTTTTCCGAAATTTCTTGTAGTGTCTTGAGTTCGAGGTAGGTGACTTTGTTTGGGCGGTCTTGACAAAGGATAGGTTCTCGGCCCATGAGTATAACAAGTTATCTGCTTGAAAAATTGGTCCCGTTGAAGTGGTTGAGAAGATCAACCCGAATGCTTATCGTCTTCGCCTTCCATCCCATATTTGTACGTCGAACGTTTTTAACGTCAAACACTTAGTACCATTTACGAGCGGCAACTCGGAGGGAGACGAGACCGGTCCGGATTCGCGGCCTAATCCTTCTCAACTGGGGGAGGATTATGGAGACGAGACCACGATCGCCTTTCTCGATAAATATGATCGGCTCCGGGTTTAGTTCTTTTTTATTATTCTTTCTTTTATCAATTCCTTACTTATTAAGGATATTTAAATAAATATCTTGTAACTTTTTTTGAAAAAAAAATATCTTACAATTTGTTGGGCAAGATAAATATTAGGGTAGAACTCTTGTTATTTAGTATGTGGGATTGTATTATTCGCGGAGCTTTGATTGAGATTTTATCATATTTTCGTTAATTCATTCGAGAGAGTGTCTCGTGCTCTTCCCGTTCATATCACGTTCTACATCGGAAAGAGAGTTTGTATTTTAGTCATATTGAGTCTATTGACACCTGTCCAAATTGTATTTATTGTAGGACACGTGTCAATACACTATTGGCAAATAAGTGTGGATGACTCCATAAGTCGAGCCATCCGATGGCTCCATAATAAAACTGATACAACCGAAGCATCAAGTACATAACCTTAAAAATAATAAACTAATTGATTGTTTGGGATTGGCAAATCAAATCAAATCAAGGGACTCGCCTCTTTTCAAAGCCCTTTTTGAGATTCGACAACGCTTGGTGGAAAAAACGGGGAATGTGCGGGGTGCGGAAGCCCTTCTTAAAGGGTGGAAATCTCGGGAAGGTCAAGATGTGTCTAGCAAATGCTACGAATTCCTAAGACCAAGGAAAACCATGGTGTCGTGGAATGGGGTCGTTTGGGGCCCGTGTAATACCCCTAAACACTCCTTCATCCTATGGTTGGGGGTGCTAAATCGACTCCGGACAAAAGATCGTCTCGAGTTCCTCGAGGAAGATCCGACATGCCCTATGTGTGCAGAGGCGAATGAATCTTCGAGCCACCTATTCTTCAAGTGCACCTTTAGCTTGGAGATTTGGAAGGATATCCGCTCTTGGATTAGTCTCCGATATAGACCGTCCACACTAAAAGGAGCCCTCAAATGGATAAAAAAAGGAGGCGAGAGGGAGTGGATGGCAAACCAAGTTGAAGAAAGCGGCGCTTGCGGCTACCGTCTACTTCATTTGGAATGCTAGGAATCGATTGGTGTTCGAAAATGATTACCAAGGCCCGAGTCTCGTAATTCGCAAGGTAAAATCACATGTCTACCGAACTATATTTACTACCTATCCGAATGTGCTTGGTGAGATTGAGAGGAGGTGTCTTGGGCATTAAGTGGCTTCTTGAGTACTTGATTGTTGCGGTTTTTTGCTCGCGCCCAGTTTCTCGCGACTCACGACTCGCGACTCGCGACTTCTCATCTGAATATAGCCATTCCGCTCTGTTATTTTCGCGAGTCGCGAAATATAAGTCGCGAGTCCTCTCGCGAGTCGCGACAATTTTTCGCAGTTCGTCCCAGTTTCTCGCGGTTCAATTCGTGAGCCGCGATCTACGTCGCGAGTCGCGACCTTTGACCTGAACTTGCAGCTCGTTTAAGTTATTTTCGCGACCCGCGACTATCGACTCGCGAGTCGCGACAAACATTCGCGAGTCGCGACTTGTTTTTGCGAGTCGCGACTCACAAATGCCCCGATTTTTGCATTCCGACTGATTTTTGGGCTTCATTCGATCGTACGAACTCACTCCGAGTGATGAATCCTATAACGAATGTCTTAGTGCACCAACCGACTTGTCGTTAGCCTCGTATATCTTATCTTCAGAATGAGGAACCGACTTGTGGTTGCCCATTTTGCTTATGTATGCAGTCACCTGACTGTCCGAAACATTCTTTTGATATATACATTTACATTTAACGATAAAAAAAAAAATAATTGATTGTTTGTCGAAATAATAAACCAATAATTGGGTTACTTATAGTCATTATATAAATTATTGTTATAAAATAATATAAAATAATTCTGTTTAATATATTTGTGTTATGATGGAATGGGTTCAAATTTTATATTACGAAATCAATATAAAAATAGTGTAAACAATATATGACATTAAATTGAGAAACTAACAGATTTTTAAACCATTATGTCATCACTTTCTTTGGTTTATGTTAAGTCGACATTTAACTAGAAAATTGCCGATTTCTATTTTCACATGTCCCATGTTAGGTGTAGACATTTATCTACTTTATTTGGAAGTTGACATTAATCTTACACTATTGATAAAAATAAAAATTGATTAATTTCATTGAGAAAGGGACGTACGTGAGAGACGATGAAAAATGACCAATTTTCATCAATCTTGGTTTATATTTGAAAAAACTTCCTGGCTATAATACAGCTCCATGTAGCCTAATGGTATTTATGCACCGCTATAAGGCATAATTAATGTGTAGTATAGTTAGATTAATTACTTTCCCCCCAAAAACGCAATAATTGCCATTAAGACCAACTCTAACCGAACGCAAAAACCTAAAAAATGCAGTGGAAACACTCCAATTGAACTGCAAACGGAAACTCAAAATGAGTTTTTCCCTTTCTCTCTCCACCTTCAGACGCAAATTTGCGTCTGTTCACAAACGCAAATTTTTGTGTGAATTGACTTTTGGCCCCAAAAAAATGATTTGAATTGTATTTTGGCCCCTTGTGTAAAAGTTCGTGAAAGAAATATATATATAAATATATATATATATATATATTTTAATTTTTGTAACTATAATGTTGTTATTTTTTATTTGAATGAACAAAATATATATTATTTGTTGGGTTGTAAATTGTTATTTTTTATATAAATATATAATAAAAAACTAGTTACAAAATATACTTGTTTCTAATTTATATTTATACGTGTTTTCATATTACTTGGCACAATTAAAATAATAGTAAAAAAATATAAAATATAAACAAATAGAATTAGACATTTATATATAGGGTGTGAACATTCTATAATAGGTTTAATCAAAACATTATGAAAGTATTTGTACAATATTTCTAGTATATTCATTTGAATAAAAAATTATAAAAGTATTTGTAAAATATTTCTAGGAGATTTCTAAAGATGTTTAAATAAATTTGTGAAGAGATTAAGAAATTATTGATAGTAAATTCAAATAATATAACCTTTTTTAAAATATAATTAAAATTTAATATATTACTATTATATTTATCATTTAATTTTATATGTTTCACAATAATAATATAAAATAAAAATATTACATGTGCGCTATAATTTTTAATTTTATCTTTTGTGATGTAATTTTTAATGTTTCATCTTGTGCGTTTTAATTTTTAATTTTATCTTGTGTGTTGTAATTTTTCAATTTAAAATTATAACGAATATTAATTTCTCCGATTTTATTATGTATATGATTATAACTTTATAATTAATTTTATTATATAAAGTCCAAGTTGAATTTAAAATAATAGTATGGTTTAATTTGTAAAGTTGTAAAATATATGGATAGTATTGAAAAGTTGTAAAAGTTGATGTGAAAGAGAATATTCCGAGAATATTCTTTTGAGTTTGAAAATGAGTTTTTCGGTTGGAGATGAATTACTGCAAAATGTGACAATTACTGCAAAATGGGTTTGAGTATGAGGTTTTCGGTTGGAGATGGTCTAAGGAGGCTATAAAGCGCTATTTTTTTTCGGTAATTGGCATAAGAAAACAATAAAAGGAAAGGCTAACGGGTTACTTTTGCAAGAGCAATTTATTAATGATATTTGAACTTTAAAATGTTGATTTCATACAAAAATAATGATAAGTGTGAATAAATCAATATAGAAGAATGCAACAATTATTTGTGTTACAGGCTTTCAAATAAATGTACTTGAAATTAGTGATATGAGTGAGCGAAGTATACTATAATGAATTGCATTATGGTCAAGAATAATTTTCCCAAACTGCGCATAGAAAATGAAAATATATTTGTTAACTGAATTTGCAACCTTTATGTTTCCTGTATTTAATAAAAACAGTTCAATCAGTTGATTCTCACTTTTCAACAGCATTAATTCTCACTTTATTTTGAGTACCTCGAAATAAGAAATTATGGTTGGAATTATTGCCATAATGAACCTTAAAGTAAACCTCATCCAGATGGTTATTGGCGTTCATCAGTTATTGCTTGGTCAATTAATTGTCGTCATTTGTTAAAATATATATATAGGGTCGAGTTCACATGAAAATGATCCTTAATACGAAAAATAATTGTCGTCATTTGTTAAAATATATATATATATATATATATATATATATATATATAAGGTCGAGCTCACATGAAAATAATCCTTAATACGAAAAATAAGAATAAATTTTAACCATCGGATCGGATGATCTTATGGCTAATAAAAACCAAAATTAAACCTTCATTAAGGGTATTTTAGACATTACCAATACCATCCACTTATCCAACTCATTAGTGGGTCCATGACACATCATTATCACACACACCAAACATACGCCACGCACGCATAACTGAAAAGACGCCGCCGGAGCACGCTTAAACGCCGCCGCCGGAGCACGCGAACAGGACGGCCGCGGCACCACCATCCCACAGGTCGAGCTCCATCATCCACCGTCGACTTCAATCTCTCCGTCGCCGTTCTGCTCGACGCCGCCGACTGTCACTCCGGACGCCGCCGTCTGGTCCGGCGCCGGAGCTCTAGTCGCCGTCGTCCTCCCTCCGTCAGGAATTGACCGTGACGTCTCTGTCACTTCCTCCACCGTAGAGCTCCGCCGTCTACAAGTGTAGAGGGTGAAGACGCCTCCGGCCCGCCACCTTCACCATCGTGGTCGTCATTCCTTCCCGTCGCGGTCGTCGTTCGTCCGTCGTCCACCGTCGGAGATTAGGTCACCGACGGGTGGTACAGGGGCCTGGGGGGCTGAGGTGACGGGATGATTTGAGATTGAAATTGGGGCGTTTGTTTTTTAGAATTTGAAATCTTATAGGGGCTTGATTGCATAAATTTCAATATATTACAATTTAGTTCATGGGTTGAATTTGTAGTTTTTAAAAATTTGTAAATCTAATATTGTAAATTTAGTAAATTTATTTACATTTCAATTTAACACTTGTGTCAAATTTGTAATTTACAAAAGTATATAAAAGTATGCTATTTTATATATCTTTTAAAAACATAAATAATAAAAAATCAAATACAAATAAGATAAAATATTAATACATTATTGAACATGTTGCACATTACTAACTGACAGATTGCACTTTTATGTTAGTGAAATTGCAACTTAGCATAACAAATGCGTAGTCATGTTAATTAGATCAATAATATAAAATATTAAATACAACAATTATAAATATTAAATATATTGTTATTACATAAATAATTTGATAAGTGCACAGTAATTTTATTTAAATACAATAATAAAAAAGTTAAAAATTGAAATGCACGTTAATGTTCGGTTTCAATTTGGTTGGGACGAATGTTCGGTCCTTATAGGCTGCACATAGCGGCCAAAAAACGTGCACATTAACGTCTGTCAGGTTGCAATTTGTTGAATTTGAGATATTTTATGTTAGCATATGTGCCGACCAAAATGAATATAAATATATATATTTAAAATCCATAAATAAAATCCATAAAAATGTAATTTTTAAAATTTAATTTATAATTTTTTGATCGAAAAATAATATAAAATATATTAAAATTCTAAATATATTTTTATAATAATAAACAACACAATGTTTTAATTAATTAAGGCAATTCGATGTACAATTATATCTATTACAACTCGATTTCAAATACACATAATTTAGCTGCTACTGTATAAATTAGTGCACTTCATAAAACAACACGTTGGACTTTATAAAATAACACGTTGCACTTTATAAAATAACATGTTGCACTTTATAAAACACCACGTAGCGCTTTATCACCACACACCTCAATTAACGTTATATAACTCCCGACAAAATACCACACAACATAAATCTTAAAAAATGTTATACATGATACATTAACATCAATCTCATCATTTATCCACATAAAACACAAGTGTGCTAACGTACCAAAATTACTCGCTTTATATACCATGACGTTTCACTTTATAAAACAATATGTTGCACTTTATAAAACAACGCGTTGCAATTTATAAAATAAGATGCTGCACTTTATTCGACTAGCAGATTGCACAATAGATACCGAAAGCGAAACCGACCGAATTAGAGTTTTCGATTCAAAATTTTATATTTCGGTTCGATAATTTGTTTTTATTTTTAAAATCACAATTATTTCAGTTCAATGTCTGATTATTTTCTAAAAATAATCAATATAACTGAAATTACCGAACTATATACAAATATATATATACATATATTTATGTATTGCGAGTGCACATAATGGTTATACAAATTGCACAATAATGACATTGTACAATATCGTCATTTATCCACACAAAACACAAGTGTGCTAACGTACCAAAATTACAATAGCTCGCTTTATACATTATCACGTTGCACTTTATAAAATAATATGTTGCACTTTATAAAACGACACGTTGCACTTTATAAAATAAGATGCTGCACTTTATCGCGACTAGCAGATTGCACAATAGATAGAGAAAGCGAAACCGACCGAATTAGAGTTTTCGGTTTAAAATTTTATATTTCGGTTCGATAAAATATTTTATTTTTAAAATCACTTCGATAAATTATTTTTATTTTTAAAATCGCAATTATTTCAGTTCAATGTATGATTTATTTCTAAAAATAATCATTGTAACTGAAATTACTGAACTATATAAAAAATATATATACATATATCTATGTATTATGAGTGCACGTTATGGTTATACAAATTGCACATTAATGACTAATAGATTGCACAATATCGAATCAAAATGACATAACAAAGATTTTTGGTTTGATGTATTTTTTTTACTGTAAAAACTTTAGTTCGATTCGATGTAGATTTTTTTTAATTAAATAGTCAAACTAACCAAATGTACAAATTATATAAAAATTATTATTATTATTATTATTATTATTATTATTATTATTATTATTATTATTATTATTATTATTCATTTTTATATAAAATATATCAATTAGTTTCAACAATTGAAATATAAAACTATTAAAATAATAATCAATTTTTGATTAATTACGAATATGACCCGTGAACCAAATCGTAATATATTATAAATGATACAATTTTCATTAAGCCCCTACAACTTTTATTAAATCACTAATTTGCCACAAGTACTAAATTGAAATACATTAAAACTTAAAAAATTGCAATTTCACCCCTTAAGCATATCAAATTCTTCAAATAAGGCCCACAATCAAAAAACTGAATCTGTAAATCAGTAACATAGCACATTCATTCTCAGCCCACAAATGGATTCTCCCCGCCGCCTGACCTCCCTGCCGACCGGACAAACGCCGCCTAGACGGATATGGCTCTGCGACATTGAAATCCAATTCGCGACTGTGTAGGGGGATGAAAAGGTTGATCCGAACTGGAACCACCGGCGACGCTCGCGTACGCCATTGACCACCGAATTGAGACTGGCGGCGGCGACGGCCTGAAACTTGATAACATCGCAGATGGAGGGAATATCGGAGGCGGTTCAAAACTCGATCCGCAGGAATTATACTTCACGTCATTTTCAAACCTCCCAGTCTAAGAGAAGGTCGACGACGGTCGGCATGGGCTTCCTTCCGCCGACGACGCGGCAGACGTCGAGAGTAAAAGAAAAGATGAAGTCGTATTGGGTGGCGGGGATGAGCTGTCGGCGTGAGAGGAAACAGAGAGATGACTTCAAGAGTGATGCAGCGGACGATGGTGGGCGGCAGTGGGCGGCGGACGGCGGGCTGAAGCAGATCTGTTATCTTCCTGTGTGGGGCTGAATAGTGTGCGTGTTTGTGTGGGTGAGAGGATGAGGGTTAGTTGTTGTGGGGCCCGCATATGTAGGTGGTTAATTATTGACTGATTATGTAATTACCACATTGTCTTCATTTAATGGTCAAATGCAAAAATTTGACCACGAATTGAACACATATTTACTATGTTGCCACCCATGGTTGACTGCCATATTTAAATTTTGACTTGATCATGGTCATTGATATGGTTGATCTCATGGTCCAAGTTCATTCTCATTTCTCGCGTTAAGAGTCATTCTCATATGATCCTTTCTCTCTCTCTATATATATATATATATATATATATATATATAGGGATTGGTTCCAATGCATCCACTTATTTAAAGTGAGGACTTAAGACTCATTTTTAGCCACAAGATTTGGTAAATCATGTGTGGCCATGATTTACTCTTTTCTTTTTATTATTTTAATTATTTAAATATTATTTTGACCCGTTCACTCCGGCGTTGACCATTGACTTCCGGCGCTGACTCCGGAGTTGACCGTTGACTTCCGGCGCTGACTCCGGCGTTGACCGTTGACCACTAACCTTCCAACTAGGTTAGTTCTCTGTAGTTGCTAGGTTAGTTCTATGTAGTTGCTAGGTTAGTTGTCTGTAGTTGGTAGGTTAGTTCTCTGTAGTTGATAGGTTAGTTCTATCTAGTTGCTAGGTTAGTTCTCTGTAGTTGGTAGGTTAGTTCTCTGTAGTTGCTAGGTTAGTTCTATGTAGTTACTAGGTTAGTTCTCTGTGGTTGGTAGGATTTTTTTTTTTTTTTAAACAATGCCCCGGAAAGGCGGGGGATTGGGCTGGATCCCCAACCTGTGCATAGATCAAGACCCTAAAACGGGGCCCAAAATATCAACAGTCTACAGTCTACAGAGTCTCACAAGCAAAACCAAAAAAGAAATAACAATACAAAGTCTGTCTTCGGGCTAACAGGTGCCCGGAAATAAAAGTCCAATCTAATGAAAGCAATAAACCTAATCTACTGAAAGCGGAACGATGGATATTCAAGCTGGTCCATCCGTACAAGCGTGCAAAGGCAGAGTGGAGCAGTGTCGGTCTGAAACGTATGTGGGTCTGATATGGTGGTGCCAAGGCTGGCAAGGTAGTCAACAGGTCTGTTCCCCTCACGGAAAATGTGTGTAATCCTGTGATGGACAGACCGAAGTAGAGCTCTAATGCGCATAAGCGGGTGCTGAATCTGCCACGAGCCCTGGTGGCCCGAAGTCAGGAGGATGGCTACAGCCGCAGCGTCTAGCTCGATCCAAATATGACTAGAAATGTGGACAACAATCTGAAGGCCAATCTGTAATGCCTGAATCTCTGCATCGTAACTCGAGGAGGCCTGAAGTGGCGCGTGGAAGGCGGTGATGAGGGCGCCGCTGTGGTCCCGGATCAAGCCTCCTTCTCTGGCAGCTACGGTGTGGCGATCAAAAGAGCCATCAGTATTCAGTTTGACCCATGGAGAGTCGGGTCGAAGCCAAACAACAACTCTGGGCCGAGGGGGCCGAACAGGCGGTGGGGAAGCCACCATGTAGCAATGTGGCGGCGTGCAGCCTGTCCAGTCTCGGGTCGTGAGCCTGCCCAATGCTGTGAGGAGTGAAAGATGTCTCTGTACCTGCAAAAAAATGTGAGAACAAAAAAGTAATATGCCTATGCTTCGCACTATTCCTGTCCGTCCAGGTGAACTAAAGGATCAGACAAGGAATGAGGAAGCCCACGTGTTTAAGGTGTGTGCTCTGTTAGAAAAAAACTCAGGAGCTCAAAGAAACTGTCTGTGGTGGGTAGGGATATATATGCCCAAGTGGCAAAGTGCTCTCACACTCTCCTCACAATCTCACTCTCTAGAAAAAGGTGGGTAAAGGTCTCGGTCTCATGGCGTCCAGTCTCAGAACAACACATACACTGAGAGGGGAAAGAGATCCCCCTCGCGTGTAGCACAGTATCCACTGGTATCCAGCGCAAGAGGAGGCGCCAAAGAAACACCAAAATGGTAGGGGTGAAAAGGTCGCTCTAGATGGTCCCGAAGAGAAGATTAGGCCGATCTCTCAGCCTGATCTGCTCCCAAGCCGAGGTAGTAGAAAACACACCCGATGATGTAAGTCTCCACCTCATGCCATCCGAACCGTCCCCTGAGATGGGGATCTGCTGGATCTGATCTAATAAATGCTCGCTAAAACCCGCACCAGAGCCCAACTCCCTATCTAGCTTCCCCATATCCCAGGACCCGTCCGTCCAAAGTTCACTCACAAGTAGGTAGGGGGAATGCGACACCTGCCTATCACCTACCCACCACTCATCCCAGAAACTAACCTCGCCCTCGCCCAAAACCCAGAAGATGTGATCCTGGGCGCGCCTACCGACCCTAGTGAGGCGCCGCCACTGTCTACTATCATGATCAACAACCGTCACCCAACAAGGGTGGTTGGCACGTCTAGGGCAGTACTTGCCGCGAAGGTACTGAGCCCAAAGCGACTTTCCCTCCCTGAAGCGCCACCACAGCTTGTAGGAGAAAGCTGTAACAATATCCCTGAGGCGGCGGATGCCAAGGCCACCCTCAGTGAAGGGGCGGCAGATAGAGTCCCAACTCACCCATTGGGTACGTCTCCCCCTTCCCGAACCGTCCTCGTAACCCCAAAAATAACGAGCCATAATCTGGTCAATCTCGTCAAGAGTAGACCTAGGGGGGTCGAGGACCATCAGCAAATGAAGCGGAAGAGAGCTAAGAGTGCTCTTGATCAGTGCAAGCCGATCACCGAAAGAAAGCTGTCTATGCGAACAACCAGAAATCCTGTCGATCATCCTCTGCCTGACGCCCACAAAGAGCGCTCTCGTGAGGTTGCCCTTATATAAAGGGACACCAAGGTAGGTAATAGGAAGGTCGCCGCGCACAAAGCCAGTAATCTCGTGGACCCGCTGAGCCCACATGTCCGTGCTGGAAGAGGAGAGGGTGAAGGTGCTCTTCTGCACACTGACCAGCTGGCCGGTGACCGAGTCATAGTACTCCAGAAGGCGCATAAGCTCGACCAGTTCATCATCATCCACCCGGGCGAAGATGTCATCCGCATAAGAGAGGTGAGAGATGGGAGGACCATAGCCACCACGGGTGCTGTAGGTCATCCATGGAGAGTCGCGGATGAAGCCGTCAAGGCAGCGAGAGAGATCGTCCGCCGCAAGAACGAATAGGGAAGGGGAAAGGGGGTCGCCCTGTCTTTCCATGGATGACCTACAGCACCCGTCGCTCTGTAGTTGGCAGGTTAGTTGTATGTAGTTGCAAGGTTAGTTCTCTATAGTTGCTAGGTTAGTTCTCTGTAGTTGCTAAGTTAGTTCTCTGTAGTTGCTAAGTTAGTTCTTTGTAGTTGCTAGGTTAGTTCTCTGTAGTTACTAAGTTAGTAGTTGCTAGGTTAGTTCTCTGTAGTTGCTAAGTTAGTAGTAGCTAGGTTAGTTCTCTGTAATTGCTAGGTTAGTTGTCTGTAGTTGCTAAGAGTTGTCCGCATTTTAAGAGTTGGGCGCATTTTAAGAGCTGGCCGCATTTGATCTACCCCCTATATATATATATATATGTAGGATGTGGTTCAAATGAGAACCAAGTCCTAGCGTGAGAACCGCTATTTTTAATTGTATGTAGTGCTATGATTGATTGTATTTAGTGCTATTTTTAATCAGGATGTATTTTATTAAAAATAGCAACACAATTTATGTTAGCATTTGTAAAAATGATAGCACCATGTAAGATTAAAAATAACATCATACACAATTAAAAATAGCATCAAATATGGTTCTCACGGTTCTCACACCAGAAAAGGGTTTTATTTGAACACTCCCTACATATATATATATATATATATATAAGATGTGGTTCAAATGAGAACCAAGTCCTAGCGTGAGAACCGCTATTTTTAATTGTATGTAGTGCTATGATTGATTGTATTCTAGTGCTATTTTTAACTAGGATGGATTTGATTAAAAATAGCAATAAAATTTTTATTAGTATTTGTGAGAATGATAGCACCATGCAATATTAAAAATAGCATCATACGCAATTAAAAATAGCATCAAATATGGTTCTCACGGTTCTCACACCAGACCTAGTTTTTATTTGAACCAGCCCATATATATATATATATATATATATATATATATGGTTTTTATTTGAACCAACCCATATATATATATATATATATATATATATATATATATAGAGAGAGAGAGAGAGAGAGAGAGAGAGGATATGGTTCAAATGAGAACCAAGTCCTAGCGTGAGAACCGTGAAAACCGCTATTTTTAATTGTATGTAGTGCTATGATTAATTGTATTTTAGTGCTATTTTTAATCAGGATGTATTTTATTAAAAATAGCAACACAATTTATGTTAGCATTTGTAAAAATGATAACACCATGTGAGATTAAAAATAGCATCATGCACAATTGAAAGTAGCATCAAATATGGTTCTCACGGTTCTCACACCAGGATTAGTAGCATCAAATATGGTTTTATACATGGTTCTCACACCAGGATTAGTAGCATCAAATATTGTTTTATATAGGGATTGGTTCAAATAAAAACTAATCCTGGTGTAAGAACCGTGAGAACCATATTTGATGCTACTTTCAATTGTGTATGATGCTATTTTTAATCTCACATGGTGCTATCATTTTTACAAATGCTAGCATAAATAGTGTTGCTATATATATAAAAGTTGTATTAAAATCGGTGGATTAGTCACACTTTTATTAACAATAAATATTTATTTTTTGGAATGACATAGTATTATATACGTCATTTTTATTTCAATATAAAAGTATATATATTTGTATTGGATTCATTCACACTGATAGGCTTCATTAATAGGAAACATAAGAGCACCCACAATGCTTTGGGTCTCTTTAAACAAAATCACATGTCATGTAGAAAATAGACATAGTCTATGAAAAAGTATTTCACAATGCAATTAAAAGTGGATTTAGTCTAGCTTATGTGGCAATAAAAAAAAGTCCAAGTCTATTCTTGGGTCTATTTTGGACCCAAGTGTGAACCTTACAATAGCAATTATTTACTATTATTATATTTTTATTGGTTGTTATATATTCTAGACTTAATACTTTTTTTTTTGCATTGGATAGATTTTAGATTTTTTAACTTGGGTTTGTCCATGTCATTATAAATTTAAGTCTATTTATTTGTCACATATGCAAAAAGTGACCCAAAGCATTGTGGGTGCTCTAATGAAACACTAGACAACAACTAGGAAACTAAATTTAGTTGGGAGGACTACACCAGTGCTTAGAACCAAACTAAAATAAACAGAAAACACAAACACTAAAATTAAAAATTGAACTCCCACAAGTGGAGAATAACAACCCCGCAGGAGAATAAAGATACAAAAACAAACAAAAAAAGGAAAAAAAAAACTAATAAACTCGGATAATCTAGAATAATGCTCTCCTCACCAGTCGGAAAGGCACTCGAACCGCCACCACTCGAACTAACTCCAAAGGAAATCAACCAACGGAACAACAAAACACCCCAAGGCCCCACATAGGATCGATAAACTCACCATAAGACTAACTAAACCCGGACATGCGGACCCAAAACAATCTCAAAGTTCACTACCACGGTCAGCCCCAGGAGACCCACACTACCACCATCTCTCACCTCAACAACTGACAAGCCTATTAGATTTGAGAGGAAGTTGTGTGAGAGAGAAACGAATTGTCACTGATTATATATATATATATATACATATATATACAGAGAGAGAGAGGGGGAGGGAGAGAGAAGGGGATCATATGAGAAAGGGAGATAGTGAAAGAAATAAGAATGATTTGTGAATCATTCGATCCAACATATCAATGGTCTTGATGGAGTTAAAGGTTAATAATTAAAGTCAAACATTTTGTAATTAAATGGTCATATATTGGGCAAATATATTCATAGAAGGGTAATGTTGTAATTTCCACCATCATACAAAACCCTATATTTATATCATCCAAACACACACTACACACACTCAGCCCCCATACACACACTCAACACAGACAGAATGCCGCCGAGCCATGTTCCACCGCCGAGCCATTCTCCACCATCGGAACCACCGACCATTTTCAGCCGTCGATCCATTCCGCCGACATGTAATGTCACATTCACCGACCCTGCTCTTAATTCCGACAATGAGAAGAAGGTCGCCACCTTCGGCGACACAAAACGGCGAACCTTCAGCCGTTTCCACTGTTCCAGCCACCGCGTCGCCGCTACCTCGTAACCACCATTGTCATTCCCATCCCCCACACAACTGCAACGATGCTCTGTAAGGATTAACGGACGACCTTTTTTTTTTTCAGATAGAGTTCGTCAAGTATTTGGCGGTGAAGACGGCGACGGATGACCATATCGACAGTGACCGTAACGTCTGAAATCAACTCTGGCAGAGGTGGACGGAGGTGGCTGTGTTTTGGATTTTGTGAGTTCTTGTTTGGAAATTTGACATGTTTTAGGGGTTTGGTTGTAATTTATCTAAGTTTATTTTATTTTAATTTAATACTTGGGGTAAATGTGTAATATGATAAAAGTTTGATTAATGCACTACAACGCTACATAAATTACACATTATTATGTGTGAACGTGCACATTAAAAATAACGCCATATTTTATACGAAATCATAAATTTTCGGATATCAACACGTTTAAAAGTTCACTAATTTATTAAAATGCCACCTCAGTTAGTTTTTTTATCGGTTGATTTGACCAAACCAACCGATTTTGAAATGTCAATTGATCTAATCTTTTCGAACATTAAAAAAAATAAGATGAACGAATTTTTATTCCAATATATACTAAAATCGAACCGACAATTGGTTTAATTTGTCGGTTAAACAAAATAACAAAATTAACTTAAATAAATTATGTTCTTTATCATACAAATATTTCTAGATTTTAATATCGTTTTATTTAATATTATATATTATTTTTTGATTAAAAAATAGTATAGATATAAACGAAATATTATGTGCAATCTAACAGTTATTAAGGTGCAATCTGTCCACCACTATGGTGTGGTGCACGGTGTCGGTATGTATTGTGCAAATTAAAACAAACGATTTTTTTTCCTAAAAAAAAATTGAAACTGAAAATAATTGGTTTATTCTGTTTGGTTAACCGAATTATCTTAAATAATCGAAATATTATTATTTTTATTTATATTAAGATTATATTTAATATGTTAACAATTTAATTTATTACTTTTATATTATCTCTAATTGAAAAAAAAAAAAATTGAGTTTGGTCGGTGTTGCTCTCTATTGCGAAATCCGATAGTCGTGATAGAGTGCAACGCTTTGTTTTATAAAGTGCAACGTGATGTATATATCATAGCTCTTGGAAACTTCATCTCAACTTAGTTGCTTTCCTAACGTGCTCTATTGAACTGTATATATCATAGCTCTTGGAGGACATATTAAAGTAGCAACACTAAGTTTCAAATTTCATAACATTGTTCCAAGTCAAAAAGCTTCGTACAGAGCTGGACAACAAAGCCCATAGCATTCACACCATGAAAAAGTAGGGAATCAATTTTCAATCCGAGAAATGCTAAAGGTACATAATATTGTACATAGGAGTGTACATAATACTCACATTGAGTGGGACCGACTATGTGAGTGTTATGTACATCTCTATGTACATTCATTATATACTTGTAACATTTTTCTTTCAATCCTATAATCGTCATTCAAAAGCACATGCAATATGATATATGTGTCATAACATAGCTCCCACTATGATAGGAATGTCACTCTACTTAGTGTACATATCTTTAGCCAAGATACTACTCAAGTATTTAACCCGAGCCACTTGATAAATATACGTAATAATTTATCTCATGCTTGAGATTCGACTTCAAGGCTTTGACATAAAATTAGAAATATTTCATATTCAACTTGTTAGTCTAATCTTAGTCTTACTAAGACGGCAATAAAAATAAATTTCTACAACAAAAGTATAAACACAATCCATATTACATACACTCAATATGAATATGACACAGTGTAATCCTATTACGCACAACGAATGTGATATGGCTATTGTCTATGTGATAAGCATAATCAAAAGCCTAGTGACATCTTAACTGATGCCTACTTATGCAACATAAGGTAAAGAACATATCAAATAATGCAAATTTCATATATGTTCGGTGTAATATTATACACATCCATTATCCCACAAAAATGAAATTAAAACCTACGCAGTCCAAGACTTTTGCATGAGTTTGAAAAGCGCCTTTGTATATTGTTCTAGTTAAAGGATCAACTATCATTTTATTTGTGTGTATATAGTTAGTGACAACTTATTTGTTTTTTATTATTTGTCGTGTAAAATAATAATGCCTTTTGATATTTGATTTTTCTGTGAAATTTATGATACTAAGCATACAATATTATCACAATGCGTTTTTATAGGTTCATCAATCTTTTATGGTGAAGTTGAGATCCTGTAGGAAATTCTTCAACCATATTTCCTCTTGAACGACAATGCAATTGGAACATACTTAGCTTCTAAATTTGAAAGGGGTATCAGTCTTGTCTTACTCCACCAGGATATTGCACCTCCACAAAAGATAAAGGCATATCATGAGGTTGACTTTGACCCATCTAAATCGTCACCCCAATCAGCATTCAGGTATCCTTTTAATTTCAAGGACCCAACTTGATATCAATGTATCAAGTCGCTTGTACCATGTATGTAATAAAATATTTTGGCATCATGCCAAAGTGCAAGACTGGGTTTGCTTTAGTAATGATTTACCAAGCCAATTGCGAAGCAGATGTCTTGTCGCATTCATAACATAGCATACATCGAACATCCTACTGCGCTAGCATATATAACATTGCTCATTTTATATTTTTCTTCATTTGAATTCAGACGTTGGTCAAAACTTAAGGTTAAACCCCTTTCGAATGGGGTATCAGTGGGTTTTTGGAATATTGTATTAAAAAACGTTATAAGATTTTCTTTATATATGTTTCTTGAGACAAACCAAGAAGCTTCTTAGGAAGATTTCTCATTATTTCAACACCTAAGACATACCTAGCTTAACCCATGCCCTTTAGTTCAAAATTAGAGGATAACAATTGCTTACTATCATTGATCATTCCCATGTCGTTTCTAGCCATCAGTATGTCATCAACATATAAAGAAAGAAACAAAATTCATTCTCCAATTTTCTTTGCATACACTAATTGATCCACATCAACCATGGTCAAGCCAAATGCACAAATAACTTCATGAAATGTGAGATACCATTGTTTATAAGACTTCTTGAGACTACATATGGATCTTTTAAGGTGACAAACTTTATTTTCTTGTGCTAGTGTGTATACTAAAAGTTTGGATTTAGACTTTATTCACATAATTTATGTTGAATGAGAACTCATGTTTGATTAAATAAAGTTCTATGTTCTATTGTTTTTCATTTAGATAAATAGTTCATCACGGATGGACAGAAGATTATTTATCGGTTACTTGCGAAGCATAAACAATTGATTCATAACCTAGATGGAAATTGAACAATCCATTGGAACAGTTGTAGGGTGAGCGCTACAGTTGATCTTGACTGATTAGTCTCACTAGTACACATTGATGTATTGAAAAGATCCCAGAGAGGAGCAGTTCTTTTTATACTGATCGGCGTAAATGAACTAGGCCTTGGCCAATTACATTATTTTCTTAACCCGTAAGATATAAACAAACACATGTTTGTAGAAATTACTGCTTTGATTCAGCAAGGTGAGGTTTATTAACATGGACCAATAACTGTATGGGTTGGGTAGTTATTCCTACATGGTATGGTGTTCTGTTATAATATTTACGTCACCATATACTTCACAATGTTGAGGTTTCATGATGCCCCCGAAGTGAGTTCAGAAGGATTCTTATTTTAAACCCTGCATGTGGATTGAGTTCTGACATAATAATAATGATTGAACGGTGCTAGCTTCGGTTATAGAAGTCGATTCAGTAATTCATTAGCCGTTTTGTCTCTTCCCTGCCGTCGTTGCTTTCTCTCCTCCTCGAAGATGACGGGCTCCGGGGCGAGTCCCGCCTGCAACATCGGCTCTGGTTCTCAGCTTGGAGTTCTTCCCCCAGGTGGGTGACTCTCGTGGATCTAGACGATGTCTCGGGTGTGTGGAGGTGCCGTCGGCGAAGGTCGCTACCCTTGTGGCGGTCGGAGCTAATGTCGAGCCGGTGGCTTCCCCTGGTTCGTCCGACTCTCTGGGTTTGAGAAGGACGGTCCCCTCTGGCGGGCTGTAGTTGTTGGAGTTGTGTCGGGGGAGGCGACGACAGTCGGGTCTCGGCGTTGTTTTCATGTGGTGGTCTGTATGGAAGTATGTCTTGGCTTTTTTTTTTATTCTGATTGAGTTAGCGATAGCCTATTGAGTATTGGATTTTGGAGTTTCTTGATCCGGGTCTTTGTTCCTATCTTTCTTGTTTTTTGTCTTCAGGTGTTGTTCTTGTTGGGGAGGTTGTGAGTTGTTGGATGGCAGTGAGGAGGACCTTAGTGTACTGTTTAGGTGTAAAGTTGTATTTGTCTCCGTTATGTTTTTCTTTTTTTGGTTTCGAGTGCTTGTACCACTTTTGTCAATTGTGTAATTTCAATGGAGTTGATTCAAACTTTATTCTGACTTTGGTGATGTTCTTTGACACTCCAATGTACTCTTTTCGAGTTTTTAAGTTTTAATATAATTATGGCTAGAGAGAAAAAAAAAAAAAAATTATCTAAGACCTATTTTAGTTTGCTAAGCACAATTGCCCCAAACCCAAAACAATGAGAATTGTTTTTTTGTATCTATCAAATTCGCAGCACAACAGTTCTCAAGTCTCAACTACCAGAAAATGCGTCTCCCCAATCTCTCATATTTTCTCCCCCGCCAAAAAATTAGAAAATAAAAAAATTCCAGAGTTATCTCTGCAGATTCTTCCAACCTACCGTGATCCACCACCTCCCTTATCCATGGCTGCTCATGTCTTCATGTACGTCAAAATCATCGCCCAAAAATTAGAAAAAACAAAGTGAAAAAAAGTCCAAAACCCAATTAATACAGAGCATTCAACAAACACCTACCCAGCCTCCGAAGTTGGTAGCAGATTCACCTAAGAAAACATGCAACGCTTACTCGCACACGCAAAACCCTCTTTAAAGCCTCCGAAAATCGACCGCCATTTCCCTTCAGCTCCCGGAGAAGCATGCTTGGCGGCGAGGAGGAGGCCCTTGTGTTGGCCTCTCTACAGAGGTCCCCAACTTACGATCGGGCCCGTACGGCGCTTTTACGGAGCGGGTCGGGTGGGCTTTCGCTGGTTGACGTTAGGAGAATACAGAACGACGAGCATAAGCAGGTATTGGATAGGTTAGTCGCCGGGATCAATGAAGACATGGAGGGTTTTTTCAGGAGGCTTAGGCGGAGATTTGATGCGTAAGGGTTTCGAGATTTTCCTTTTNNGTTTTGGTTAAATAAATTGATTGTGTGCTGGTTGTATTCAATATACCTTTGCCAACTACAGTGTCGGCCTGGAATTTCCTAAAGTTGAGGTTAGGTTTCAGAATTTGAAGGTGGATGCATCAGTCCATGTTGGAAGTAGAGCATTGCCAACCATACCCAATTTTATTTTTGACATGACTGAGGTACCTTCGTAGTTAGTGTAATAAAGTAATGCGTATTATCGTTTTCTTGATTGGGGCGGCATGCATATCTGAAAACATGAATTGACACAAAATAGGCTTTCTTGAGGCAGCTGAGGATAATCTCCAGCAGAAAACAGAAAGTATCTATACTAAACAACATTGATGGTATTATAAGACCTTCAAGGTACGGTGTAAGTTCATTGAAATATGAATGAGTTATCTGTCATTTATTAATTTGATGAGTGAAGCTCTTTCTCTAGACTGACTCTGCTTTTGGGACCTCCAAGCTCTGGCAAAACAACATTTCTTTTGGCTCTTGCTGGACGTCTTGCACCAAATTTGCAGGTGATTGTTCTTGTTGTTTATCATCTACCTACGCCATCTTACCAATCTTGAATCAAATGTAATTATTCAGAATAAATTACCTTCTGAGTTATCTCAAATCTTGCGTAATCAGTATGAGATTACCTTGTTCAGGATAATACCATTCTACGTTGGTATAGTTCAAAATTTTTCATTCTTTGACAATGACTTGGAAACCAACGAACTATATTGGTTAACTTTATACTTGTTTCTATCTATATTTAAGCATACAAGTTGGTGAGAGCATTCTGTGGAAGTATAGGAAATCTTAAGTTTGTCATACAAGAATTTTAATCAAATCGAATATAAGAAAGAAAAAAATAAAAAGTTTGTCATACAAGAGATGCCAGTGATGTCAGAAAAAAATGTATGGGTTGAAATGGATTAACTTCCTTGCCAACCCAGCTTAACCAATAAACTTTTGATTGCTAAAATTCGCTCTTATGTATTTTGGTTTAATTTCTAAGCCCTCATGCTTATTTCTTTCTTATCATATCTGCAATCATACTTTCTAAAGATGACAGGGAAAGTTATGTACAATGGACATAACCTGGAGGAGTTTATTCCTCAGAGAACTTCAGCATATGCAAGCCAGCAGGATTGGCACATTTCTGAGATGACTGTTAGGGAGGTTCTTGAGTTTTCAGGACTGTGTCAAGGTCCTGGATATAAAAGCGGTATATTCAAACTGGACATTCAATTAAAAAACATTTAAGGGGGTAGTTTTCATGCTTGTTTCTTATCTTTCATTTGAATCTGGTTTTTGAAACTCTGGCATCTAGAAATGCTCATGGAACTTCTTAGAAGGGAAAAAAATGCTGGAATAGACCCAGATCAAGATCTAGATGTTTTTATCAAGGTATGGTTCCTTATTGAAGTTGTCCTTGATTAAAATACCACGTGTTCCCATTGTTGAAATACTTATTTCTCCTAGGCAGTCGCTTTCGGGCAGCAGACAAGTGTTCTAGTGGAGTATATCATGAAGGTGTGCCACTAAGATTATCCTTGAATTTCTGTCTTTCTAAGAATAATTATATCCATGATACATGTATATTCTACAAATATGCTTATATCCTTTATTGTTTTTGTGTTCACTAAAATAAATTTTGGAAATTGAATGTGGATAGAAACAGACTAAGATGTGCAATTCTTG